CTCTTTGATATCTTGTTTGAATCTGCTATGGATTTGTATATATAACCACCGGTCAATTTTAAATCCCTGTTCCTGTAAGTCCTGTCGAGTTCTTAATTTTCCTAGAGGGTCTAATAAATCTTTATATTTAGTCATTTTTGTTATATCCAAATTGTTGGGATGAACCATTGCCTCCATTGTTGAAAGCCAAATCGGAATTTTTAAATAATGTTTTTTGCATATTTTTTTCCAATTAGTTAATAATGAATCTCTAATAAGGTGTCTATGAAAATACGACTGTTTAGTTTTCCCCACATCCCATAGAAATGCGTGCCACCCTCTCTGAAGATCGTGCCCTTCCAAGGCTAAAGTTCTTTTATTGAGTAAATTGACTCAGTCTTTTAACCATAATAAGTTGGCTGCCCAATAATATAATTCCCAATTTGGGAGTGCTAGCCCCCCTCTACTTTTTGCATCTTGTAAAGCCTTAATATTGATTCTAGCTTTTTTCCCTTGCCAAATAAATTTAAGTGTTACTTTATTTATATCTTCAAAAAAATTTTTGGGTAATTTAATTGGGATTGTCTGGAATAAGTAAAGGAGTTTTGGTAAGATGTTCATTTTGATCGTGGCAATCCTGCCCAGTAGAGAAAGCTGCAGCTTATTCCAAGATTCTAGGTCTTTCTTAATTTGCTGTAATAGTTTATCATAATTGTTCTCTTTGAGCGATTTACTATGTGGTATTAACCATATGCCTAAATATTTGACCTTTTTTGTTGCCTGTATCCCCATGGTTTTTTCTAATTCTTTCCTCTGATTCTCTGTTAGATTTTTAGTCAGTAATTTTGTCTTATTTCTATTAATCTTTAATCCTGCTACTGAACCAAATTGTTCTAGTTCTTTTATTAGGTTATGTCCTTTTTCCATGGGTTCCTCTAGGAAGAAAACCATATCGTCTGCAAACGCCTGTAGTTTATATTCCTCTGCTTTGACCCTAACTCCTTGGATTTCAGAGTTTTGTCTTATCCGCGTTAACAATGATTCTAAAGCAAGTATAAATAGGAGGGGTGAGAGGGGGCAACCCTGTCTAACGCCCTTTTCAATGTTTAATGGGCCTGTTTGTTCGCCATTAATTAGTATATTGGCCTGTTGGGTATTGTAAATTGTTGTGATAATGTTCTCGAATTTAGTGCCCAGACTCACGTTATAGATTTTTTGTATTAAAAAGTGCCAATGTAGATTATCAAATGCTTTCTCCGCATCTAAGAACATGAGTGCAAATTGTTTCTCTGGATGAACTTCATAATATTCTAAGACGTCAATAACGGTTCTTAGATTATTTTTGATTTGGCGGGATGGAAGGAAACCATTTTGGTCTTCATGAATGTATAAATTTAAAACTTGTTTTACTCTATTCGCTATAATTGAGGTAAATAATTTATAATCAGCGTTTAAAAGTGAGATTGGTCTATAATTGTTGATATATCTGGCATCTACATCCTCCTTCAGGATTAACGAAATCAACGCCCCCCTCCATGAGTCTGGCATTTTAGCTGCCAAAAGTACTTCGTTAAACACTTCCAGCATCAGTGGCCCTACTAACTCTATTGTGGCTTTGTACAATTCTACTGGAATCCCGTCTGGACCAGGGGATTTATTATTACTTTGATTCTCCATTGCAGATTTCAACTCAGACCATGTAATATCCTTATTTAATAATTCTTTCTCTCCTTCCCCTATTGTTTTATCATTCGTATTCTCCAGATAAGTTCTTATTTTGTCTTCATTGATTTCTTCTTTTTTATATAATCTTTGAAAATAGTTTAATATGATATCTTTTTTCTTCTCAATCTCATGTTGTGGTATGCCTTTCTCATCTATTAGTTGGTGTATCAGTCTCTTTTCTTTTTCTTTTTTAAGTTTATAAGATAGCCATCTTCCTGGTTTATTGGCGTGTTCAAAATAATTTTGTTTGGACCTTCTCAAGATAACTTCTATTTTATCTTGTTCAATTAAATTCAGCTTTTGTTTGGCTAATATTAACTGGTTTTGTATTCCTTGGATCTTAGGGGGTTTTTGTAATTGTATTTCTAAATCTTTGATTTGTTGTTGTAATACGTTTTGTTGGGCATAAGTTCTCTTGTTTCTCATAGCATTATAGGAAATTGTTGTACCTCTTATAATTGCTTTCATAGTATCCCAAATATTCTGTTTTGAAGTTGTTTCATTATTATTATCTTTTAGAAAATAGTTTAGCTCCTCTTTCAGCTTATTAATATACTCTTCTTCGTTTACAATTTGGTTGTTGAGTGTCCATCTTTTTTTTATTCCTCTCCTATCTCTCCAAATTAGCTGTATTGGATTGTGGTCAGCCCATTCATTTGGTAGGATTTTAATTTCTTTTATTTCATTAGCCAAATCCAAATCCATCCAAGCCATATCTATTCTAGTCCAAGTCTTATGTGGATTAGAATAGTATGTAAATTGTTTCTCTTCAAGATTCCATTCCCTCCATAAATCTTTTAAATTTAACTCTTTTATCATTTCCTTACATGCCGCAGAAAGTTCCCTTTTCCCCTTCTTGTTTTTTCCCATATTACTATGGTCTTTTTGGTAGTCTGCAATGGAGTTAAAATCGCCAATCAAGCAAATGTTCCTTTTTTCAAAGCCTACTATTTTTTGGTGGAGGTGTTTAAAAAATTTCCCTTGGTCTTCATTTGGGGCATAGATTGCTACAAGTAAAAATGTGATGTGGTTTATCCAAACTTGTATAACCAGAGTTCTTCCTTCGGGATCCGACCAGGTTAATTCTGCCCTTACATCTTGTTTTACGTAAATTGCAAATCCTTTTTTCTTTTGTTTATCGGCCGGTGCCGTAAAAAGTTTCCCTAATTTTGGACAAATTAGATGTCTTTCATCATTCTTCGAAATATGTGTTTCTTGAAGACATATTATATCTGCGTTATGTTGAATAAGTTTTGAAAATATCCTTTTTCTTTTTGATATTGAATTTAATCCATTTATATTGATGGAGAGCAACTTCTTCCCCTCCACCATTTATCTACGTCTGCTTAGATTTTTGCCTAGTAATGATTCGATTCTCTTGTTGTTGTTGTTGTGGGATTTGCTCTTCTCTCCCAGGTTGTGGTTTATCACTTCCTAAAATTGGAGAAAGTCGTTTCTTTTGGGTTCTGTGATGACATCGGTCCTCCTGTGGTCTCCTTTTAAGTTCTTCTTTAGTGGATTGACCATTCGTATCCGTGAGCTGTTGATAAAAATCTTGGGCCTGTTCTATCGATTCTATTTTGATTTTCCTCTCTTTCCACGTAATTAACATCCCTTCCGGAATTAACCATTTAAATTGGATTCCTTTTTTATTTAAATCATTAGCTAGAAATTTATAATCTTGTCTTATCATCCTCACTTTCTTTGGAATTTGTTTTAAAATCATAATTTCTCTGCCTTTATATGATATCATTTCCTCCCTAGACATTTTCAAAATTAAATCCCTCAGACATCTCCTAGAGAAGCGGATATGGATTTCTCTTGGACAGTTGTTGCGTCTGGTGTAGCTTGTGCTAACCCTATATACCTCATCAAACTCTTTAATTAGATCATCTTTTTCCTTTCCTAACCATTCAGCCAATATTTCTGCCATCAAATGTTCCAATTCTTCATTTTTTGCTTCAGCCACATTCTGGAACCTTAAATACGCCATTGCTTTGTCCATCTCGAGGTGGACCAGTGAGTCTTCCGTTTCTCTAAGTACCTTTTTAAATTCCTCATCCATCCTTTCAAAGTTAGTCTCCATGCGTATTGTTCTACTCTCTATATCTTTTATTTTCACTTCGTTTTTCTCCATGGCCTGCTGTAGAGACCCTATCTTACCCTCCACCTTTGATATATCCTCTTTCATTTCAGCCTTCAGTTTCCCCATCTCATCTTTCAATTTGCTTATATCTGCTCTAGTTTCATTGTGATTTTTAATCATCATTTCTTGCATTTTAGATATAGCTTCCTGCAAGGATAATAGGGAAGTTTGTATATTAATGTTGGGGACATTAGGCTGCTTTTCCCCTGTTAAGGACTCCTCAATAGTTTTTTGAGTTGTTGGTGGGGTGGGTGTCAATGTAGTCGATAGGGTCGGGGTAGCCTTCCTTCCTGTTTTTAAGGCCATAGTTGTCGTGGATGTCATCTCTCTAAGTATTTGTTTTTGTTGATGCACAATTTTAGATATATTATCCCAAATCACCATTCAGTGTTTGGGTCTTGTATTTGAAAGTCTATTCGCGTATTTCAATTTAATATCTCACTCCGCAGTCTTTTCCCCTATATCATAAATAGATATCTACTACAGTATTCTAGTCTATATAATAAGAAAATTGGTCAGCAATAGTACATCAATTAACACTTTAAGGAATTAATCTTAAATGTCTTAAGTAGTCTAAATAAATAGTTATAAATAGTTTATATCAACAGAGTTTATCCCTCTTTACTATTAATACTTACAACAATAATCTCTTAACTCTATAATAATAGTATACCCCCCTCTTTTTTCCCCCCAAATAAGTAGAATTATGTAAGCTATTTAGGAGATACAATAGGGAGGCAGGGTGCAAAACAATAAGAGAAAGGGTAGGAGAGAGATTACCACAGCTTCAGAGAATCAACAAACAAAAAGCAAGGAAGTCATCTTAAAGAGAAAGTAGTGCCAAACTAGTAATATTAAAAGAAAGCAAGTTGGGTGAGCTAAAAGTCCATCTTCCAGCTAGAGAATTCTTTTCAGCCTTCCAATCAGCAAATGGTGTAATGTGCTGACTAATCTACAGTCTCAAAAGCGTCTTTCCCAGCCTTCTGTTCGCCTCTGCCTTCTTCCTCTTGCTGCTTCTTCTTTCTTTGCTTTCCAACTTTTAAATCAACATGCAAATCTTCCAAAGTCCAATATAATGCTCAGTTTGTCTTCTCCACAGTATTAAATAGATGTAATAGTCATGTTGTGCTCAGATCTGAGGATTCATAAGACTCAATCAATGTCAGTATTCTTTCACCTCCGTCGCCTCCCTTTTCTCAAGTAAAGTCAAAAAGAAAGGTCCAAAAATCAGATGAAGCCCCTCACCAATTCCGGACCTCCGATCTCCTGGTTTTAGCAATCTCCCTCTTTCCCCAGCGCTTCCCTTTCACAGAGTAAATCTGTGCTTTCCTTTTGTGCTTAGGCTTTTCCGCTCTCCATTATAATCCTTTCATTTTCCCAGCTACTTTTCTGGCCGCTTTCCGCCCGACTTCTGAGAGGTGCTAATCACAACCAGGAGACAAGAATTTATGCTGTCATTCTTCAGTCATTCTGCTCTCTTCAGTCTTCAGAGGATCCAAGTTATAAACCGTTTCTCTGTTCCTGTTACTCTCGGCCTCGCAGGCTGTCACTGCTTTGCTTATTCACTCAAGTGGCAGACCGGACTTGAAGCCGCCATAGAATGACAGCTTACTCTTTTGCACCGGGCTCGGGAGCTTCCCTCTTCACTGTCGGGGAGTTGCCTTCCCCCCTCTGCAGCTCGAGGTTCTCCACGTTGACACGAACCTCTCCAGGATTTGTGTATCCCTGGGGGATCGCTCCTGGTGCCAGAAAAGGTGTTCAAAGACTGCGGCAGCCTTCTTCACCTCCGTTCTCCATGTCCTGCCACCGCTCTCTCCAATGCCAGCATATTTTCAATGAGGTCCTATATTTGTCTCATTATGACATCTGGGATAAATAGATGATGTTGTGGAATTTGCAACATAATGAAATGATGCAGGTTTTATCATTTGCCTACTTTTATTACATTGCAGAGTAATGAGGAGTGCTAAAATGCATTCAGACAAAGCATGGCAAATTTGAATAGCAGAACTTAAAAAGGGGACTCATTGTCTCTGAAGGTTCTTAGTCATCCAGGTCATGGTTGCCCCAAAGGTGCTTTTTCAAGAGGCAATTGGACTTTCTGGTTTTTGTTTGAAAATGTTTCACTTCTCATCCAAGAAGCTTCTTGAGCTCTGACTGGGGAATGGAAGGATTTATACTCCTGGCACACAGCTGGTCATTTGCATTCTTTTAGCAGGTTGTTAAGGTCACCTGGAGGTTTATCTGTATCATCAGGGTCACCTGAATGGTGCAAATTGTGGAGACTTTTTGGAACTGTTTAAAGGACTGTGTTGTAGATTGGAGATAGATGATGTCGTATCCCTCCCCCACTGTTGAGAGAGGGCTGACATAGATGGTCTCTTTAACCCCACTTTCATGAGGGTGAAGGTGAGGGATGAGAAGCAAAATGTCTTCAAAGAAAAACCAAAAAGTCCAGTAACCTCTTGAAAAAGCACCTTTGGGACAAGAGGACCCATTGAATCAAGTTAATGGCCTTCATTTTCTATATACTAACAGAATAGAAAAATACACTACAGGAGCTTGAAGTCTCTGAAAGTCAGAAAGATAAACATGATTTAATTTATTATTTTTATTATTATTTTGTTATTTTATTTACTTACTATTATGTTAGTTTTTTAAAATCCCTTTCTTCCCTATGTTTTTTTTAAAGTTTTTGAGCTCCAGTTCCCCCCTATCTTATTATTTAAGATTTGGCTTATTTATTTGATTGATCTTTATTAATGCAATTCTTCCATGATTTTCAATTTTTTACTCTTGTCCCTATTATATGCCTATTTATTTGTCTTTTATTTTTTGTCCTGTATTTATTTTTATTCTCTAACTGGGTCTTCCCTCCCTACCTATTGGAACCTCAGGTTTGGTTCGTTACCCTCACTTCCCTCGTTTGCTGCTCCCACCACTTCTTGTTTTCTCTGCCAGCTCCCTTCTGTCCTTTGGTGCTCCGGTCTTTTCAGCCTTGTCCCTGCTCTGGTCAGCTCTCTTGTGCAGCTTTCTGGTCAGCTCAGTTCTGCTGTCCGGTCTGCTCCACCATCTCTTTTCTGGTTGCTCTCTGTGGTGCTCTCAGGCTCTAGCTCATGCATTGCCCTATGCTGCTGCTGCTGGCTCTCTCTCCTCCCTCTTGTGGTTTGCTGGCAGCCTGTGCAGACAGCAGCAGAATCAGACAGTGGGGAAGAATAGGACAGTCTGGGAATCTGCAGAGAATTCAGACAAGGGTCCTGTGTCCGATACAGAGATAGGGCCAGGACCATCTGGGAGTTATGTGCTAACTCCAGAGCGTCCAGAATCTGGCAGCAGTAAGGCAGAGGAACAAGGGAGCCTGTTCCCAGTGCACATGTGCACAGAGCTGCCAGAAGGCAACAGCAGCTAAGATAAAAGGGGTGACTCAGGAGTAAGGCTTGGAGGTGATTGCCCCTCCCATAAGATATAAAGGAAGTGCAAAGGTAGGAAAACCTTTACAGGAAGCTACATCATTCGCTCTGATTGGTTTGGACTCTGAAAGATCTTTGGTGAATTTGTTCTCTGTTTGATTTGGAAAGACTAATTGGGACTTTAGTCATTGGCACCACTTCAAGTAAGGTAAGGTAAGGTGTGTTCTTATCAGATGTCTCTTGAAGAACTTTGGCAGACCTCCCTGGGACAAATTATAACTGGTTAAGACTCATTCCAGGCTGTAAATGACAATTGAACAGCCATTGAACTAAAATAAAAGAGTTTGGATTTTATGTGTGTTTGTTGGTGTCTCAGGAAGCCTTGGTCACTCCCTGCTGCTTTTTGCTCTAGAGCCACATAGCTCCCATTTGCTGTCCATCACGCTGGGGATGCTACTTCCATCAGCAAACAGGACTGCCTAGATGGTCCCCAGCAAGCTCATCTGTCTTTTATTCCCTTCCTCCCTGCTGCATTTTCTTGCTAGCTTGATGATCCAAAAAAGTTCACTTCTTCTCTTTTCTCCTTTTCCCTGTTTTGCTCTCTCACCAGCTCACCTCTTTGTTCTCTGCTGGTCATTGCATTGCCCTTTGTTGACTGGCCTCTTTGCCTCAAGGCTATTTTTCCTCCCTGCTTTGCAGCTGGCCTCACTCGCTCATTATTCTCCAATGGTTGGCTTTGCTGCCTGCAGTTTATTTGCCTCTCTGCTCACCTCACTTCGATAGGCCTCCGATCTTTTCGGGTGCAGCTTGGCTTCTCCCTTTTTTAATTTCTTCAATCTTCCTCTCCTTTTCCTTTATCTAGTCTTTTTTCTTTTTCTGTGACTTATCTTTCCCTCTCTACCTCTCCTCCTACTTTATTTTATTTTAGTAGCGACTTATCTGCCCGCAATGTGACTATACTTCCTCTGTTGGTGCCATCTTGTTCTTGTTAAATAAATGAGAAGGTGGGAAAAGTGGAAGACAAAGTAGAGAAAGTAGAAGAAAAATTAGAGAATTTCCAACAAATTCTGGCAAAAAATGAAGAACATATACAAAAAGTAGAAGAGAAAGCAGATTTAACAGAAAAAAGAGCGGGAGAGCTTGATTATAGACTTACATTGGCAGATCAAAATAAAGAAAGAACAATAATTTTGTTGGAAATGGACTAGGCAGACTACTGAAATGCCAGAATATGGAAGAAGAAAAGGGAGGAAAATTAGCAGAGATAATGGCAGAAATATTGGAAGGAGCCTTGGAGGTGCCCAAAGAAAAAATTATGGCTGCAATTGATGAAATATTCAGAGTGCACACTAGATAGGTGATGACAAATAAATTGCCCAGGGAGGTCCATGTGATATTTACTAAGAAAGCAACAAAAACAGAGACCCTGCAGAGAGCAAGAGATGAGCCTTTGAAATACAAAGGAAAAGAAATAACAGTTCTAAAATAAATTCCAAGAAGATTTAGAGATTTAAGGAAGGAATATCAATTTTTGACAAAGTGTTTAATCAAAAAGGGTGTGAATTTTAGATGGCTGATACCAGAGGGAATATTGGTGACCTGGCAGGAGCAAAGACATAGACTAGATTCAATAGAGAAGGTGGAACAATTCTATGATAATTATTTCAGATCGCAGGAGGAAGAGAGAATGAGAGAGGAAGGAGAAATTAGATGTCAAGAGGAATATATAGGAGAGAGAGATAAGCAACAAAGACAGGAGGAAAGAGACCAGGATAGCAAGGAAAAAAAGCAAAAGAAGCAAGAGAGATAAGAGCAACCAGAGCAACAAAATCTATTTATAAATAAAGTTATGGAAGAGAATATAAAGTTAATATCAATTAATATAAATGGACTGAATTCAGCAATAAAAAGGAAAAGGATTTTTAATAACCTAGATATAATATAATTTGTTTATAAGAAGTCCACATCAAAAAGCAACACAGTAAAGTACTGGAATGCTCTAAAATTGGGAAGCTATATACCTCCCTCTCACAACAAAGGGGTGTAATGCTTTATATTAAAATGACAGTAAAAGCAAAACCAATTCATACAGATGAGAAAGGGAGGGTTTTGATGGTGAAAATAATGATGACAGCAGACACTTGTAGTGGCAATATACACACCAAATAATAATCAAGAGGATTTTTATGATAAACTTCATAAGAAAACAATAGAACTAGAATATGAAAACATATGCATACAATAGTGGATGTGGAACTGGATTACAAAACTAGAAAGACAAATAAAAAAGCTAGGAAAAAAGTCCCAAAGACTTTTTTAAAATGGCAGAAGAATGAGGTATTCAAGATGCTTGGCAAGAAATACTTACTAAGAAAAATCAGGAAAAACATAAGTTACAGGCATTTGCTGATGATTTAGTTTTTATTTTAGAAGATCTATTAGAAACAGGACCTAAGTTAATTTAAAAAATAGAAGAATAATGCAAAGTGGCAGGATTAAAAATAAACAGAGAAAAAACTAAGATTTTAGTGAAAAATGTTACAGAGAAACAAAAAAAAAGAGTTAATAAGAAGATTAGATATTCAGATTACTAAGATAGTGAAATATCTAGGGATTCAGTTAACAGCAAGATGTGTGATGCTTACGGAAGATAATTATAATAAATTGAAGCAACAAGTTAAGATGGATTTGGAAAAAATTACAGCTATCATTAATAGGAAGAATAGCATCAATTAAAATGATTATACTGCCAAGATTATTATATTTGTTTCAAACAATCCCAATAAAATTAGAGAAAAAATACTCTGAAGATCTTAACAAAATATTACACTTGGCAAGGGAAAAAAGCAAGAATCAATTTTAAAATGTTACAGGATGCTAGAACATCCTAGATGCTAGAGGAGGGTTTGAATTATTTAACTGGGAATTATATTATCAGGCCACAGTCTTAACATGAATGAAAGAATGGATTGTACTGAGGAATACAAGATTATTGACTCTGGAGGGGCATGATTTACAATTGGGTTGGCATGTCTTTTTATGGTATGGGAAAAATAAGATACATGGTTACTTTCAAAGTAACCATGTATCTTATATTATAAAAGAAATGCATTATTGTTATATAAGAAATGTATTATTGTTAACATGGGAGAAAATTAGAGAACAACACTACTTGAAGATACCAGTCTGGCTTTTGACAATGGAAGCACTTATTCATCCAAATATTATTAATATGGAAAATATTCTTAGATACAAGGATATTTTGAATGAATAAAGTAAGCTCAAAACTAAACAAGAATTAAAAGAGCAAGGGTGTGGTAAAAAGAGCATATAGTTTGGTATTCATATGTGCAAATACAGTCTAGATATGAAAAAGATGCTAAATTAATTGGTTTTTATAAAGAATTGACAGAACTAGACAAGATATTAACAGGAACAGAAGAAAAACTGATAAAAATTGTATAGTTATCTATTGGGAATTAAAATGGAAGAAGAACAGATGAAAGCAACTGTCAACTAAAAAGATACTAGACTAGATAAATCAATTTACTTTTCTCTGAGATGTGGCTAGAGACTTTGATTTAAATGAGGGTGGATTTGTTGGAGCCCTGACAGCGACAATGATAGCATGGGCCACAAATTTTGGGTACACTATAGAATTAGACAAATGGTAGAAACTGTGGGAGAGAAATTATAAATGATCAATGTCAGCTGCTTATAAAGAAAATCTGTATAAGATGTTCTATAGATGGCACTTTGCACCGGCAAGACTGGCAAGGATGTTTAAAGATAAATCAGCTAAATGCTGGAAATGTCATCAGGCACCTGGATCATATTAACATATGTGGTGGTCTGGTCATGGGTAGAAGCTATAAGATACTGGACAAAAATACACACGTTTGGAAAAGATGATACAGCAACATATTGATTTAAAACCAGAAATAATTTTGTTGGGAATTATAACTGAAATATATAATAAAGAAAAGCTATATTTAATCATTCATGTATTGACTGCAGCTAGAACTGTATTTGCACAAAATTGGAAAAGTGAAAAGATTCCAACAGAAGAGAATATGATCAGGAAAATATTAAAATGTGCAGAAATGAACAGGTTAATGCTTGCAATTAAAGAAAAGGAACAAACTGAGTATTATATGGCACGGGAATTATTTTATCAAGAGAATAAAAATAGAAATTAGAAAATCTAAGAAGATCAGCCAAAAATAGTAAATGTGTGAATAAGACTTAAATATGCTAAGAATTGTTATTATAATTAGATACATTATGTTTAGTAGTATGAAGTAAGAATAGAGTAATTATATAATAGTAATGAATATGTACTAATTGTAATGGTTATGGCACAAGATATTTGTACCCAGACAACACACGAAAGATGGAATGTTTGTGTAAAATAAAAAAAAATGGTAAAAAAGAATTGCAGATGACACCAAGCTGGCAGGAATAGCCAAAACTTTAGAAGAGAGACTCAAAATCCAGATGGATCTCGACAGAGTTGAACATTGGGCCCTATCCAACAAAATACAATTCAATGGTGAAAAAAGTAAGGTTTTACACTTAGGCAACCCTACCCCCAAATGTACAGTTATAGAATAGGTGGGAACTAGCTCAATAGCAGTAACTGCAAGAGGGATTTTGCAGTCATGGTGGACAACCACTTAAATATGAGTCAGCAGTGTACTGCAGCCACCCAAAAAGCCAATGCAATCCTATGTTGTATTAACAGAGGGATAGTTTTGTACTGCCTTGGTAAAACCATACTTGGAATAATGCATCTAGTTTTGGTCACCATAATATAAAAAAGCCGCTGAGACTCTGGGAAGAGTAGAAAGAAGAGATGATCAGGGGGCTGGAGGCTAAAGCATATGAAGAACGGTTGCAGGAATTGAGTATGTGTAGTCTAGCGAAAAGAAACACTAGGAGTGACACGATAGCAATGTTTTGATATTTTAGTATTTTTTTAGTATTTAGTATTTATTTGATTTATCAATCGCTTACAAGATACAGGTATAAGAATAAACATAGTTTTGAATACATGAGATAGATATGTATAAGAAAAATTAAAAAAACAATAGGACAGGGACGGTAGGCACGATTGGTGTGCTTATGCACACCCCTACAGGCCTCTTAGGAAGGGGATGAGGTCAATAGTAGACAGTCTAAGGTTAAAGTTTTTGGGGTTTGGGGAAGAAACCACAGAGTCAGGTAGAATATTCCAAACATTGACCACTCTGTTGCTGAAGTCATATTTTCTGCAGTCAAGTTTGGTTCAGTTAACCTTGAGTTTGCATCTATCGTGTGCTCTTGTATTGTTATGATTGAAGCTGAAGTATTCATTTGCAGGTAGGACATTGCAATGTATGATTTTATATACTATATTTAGATCGGACCAGAGGCGGCATATTCTAGGTTTTCCAGGTCTAGAGTTTCAAGTCTGGTGGCATAAGGTATTCTGCAATGACTAGAGGAGCGGAGAGCTCTTCTTGTGAAATATTTCTGGACTTTTTCAATTGTGTTAATATCAGATACATGATATGGGTTCCAGACTGATGAGCTGTATTCAAGTATAGGTCTAGCAAAAGTTTTGTATGCTCTAGTTAGTAGTGTGATATTACCAGAGAAGAAGCTATGTAGGATTAGATTAACAACTCTTAATGCCTTTTTGGCTATGTAGTTACAGTGGGCTCTACCACTTAGATCATTAGAGATGAGTACTCCAAGGTCCTTGACAAAGTTTGGATCCTCAACAAGGTCTTGATTATTTAGCTTGTATTTTATTTTCTGATTTTTTTTGGCCAATATGTAAGACAGAGCATTTATTTGTTGAGATTTGAAGTTGCCATTTGATTGACCATTCTGATACATAGTCAAGGTCTTTTGGGAGGGTAGTAGTATTGTCTATGGTGTTGAATAGCTTTACATCATCAGCAAAGAGAACGCAGTTGCTCTTAATATGATCACAGAGGTCATTTATGTAGAGTATGAACAGCGTTGTCCTAAAACACTGCCTTGAGGAACACCACTGTTGACAGGTACAGAATTTGATAGGATGCTCTCAATTTTGACTATTCATTGTCTGTTTGACAGGAATGCTTCTGTCCAGTTATGTAGGTGTCCAGAGATACCATAAGACTTTAGTTTTAGTTTGTCGTGTACCACTGAATCAAAGGCTTTACAGAAGTCTATGTAGATTGCGTGGTCCATGTGTTTTTGCAGTGTAAGAGTTGCAGATTACAGGAGAGTTTTTTTTCTGAAACCAAATTGTTTATTATTTATGTTTATTATTTGAGGGACTGCCACAAAGAATGGGCCAAACAAATTCTCCAAACTATCAGAAGGCAGGACAAGAAGCAATGGATGGAAACTAATCAAAGGGAGAACCAACCTAGAATTAAGAACTAATTTATTGACAGTGAGAACAATTAACCTATGGAACACCTTGCCTTCAGAAGTTGTGGATGTTCCATCACTGAAGGTTTTTAAAAAGAGATTTGACAGCTATTTGCCCAGAATGGTATAGGATCTCCTGTTTGTGCAGAGGGTTGGACTAGAAGGTTCCTTCCAACTATTGTTCTGTTCTGTACACAGAATTGATATGAATTGTAATCAGAGGCAGATCCCACCTAAAGCACTATGGCATCACACTTTTAAGGAAATTCAGAAGATAGCAATGACAGCAATC